ACACACACACACACACAAAGAAAAACAAGTAGAATAGAAAAAATAGAAAGCTAGTGTTTGTTTTTTTTTGATAAATAGTAGATTTAGATCGATAATTAGATTTCCATTGTACCGGCGGAGAGCATTACTGTAGCATTACCTTTTTACAAATTGAAGGCTGAAATTGTTTTGAATTATTTTATATAATATAGTTACGTTCTATGAACAGTATCTGTGACATTTTTTTAATTAGTTATTATTCATTACAATTTTTGCCACAGATACTGTTCATAGAGCTTAAACCTGTACTTAACCCAGAACATTCCTTTTATAAATGATCATTATTTGATTATCAAATATACTACACTAGTGTATAAAGCTAGAAACATTTTCTGATTTGAAGTACACAAACTGTCTATCGAAGTGTTATGCATGTTCAGTTTCCCCATGTCATGTTAATTTCGCTTTAGACGGCACACACACACACATTCAGACAGCCAGTCCATATTTTAATCTTATTATTAACTGTAAGGCAGAAATATATTGCTATAGTAATACAACTGCACTGTAACATTAAAATAAATATTGAATAATAATTACATAAATAATTTTACTTCACATGACAGTAGTCAAATTACAATACTTCTGTTAAATTCTTCCCTTGCAAGCATTAAACCCTCAAGCTTTTTGAGATTTTTCAGGGAGAGCTTTAAATTTGACTGTGGCGTGCATAATGGATTACCTGCATACTGTGGATAATCAATTATATACAATTGCATAAATAATTTCAGACCAGTTTTGGTCAGTTCTTGGCCAGAATAAGTTGTAAAGGTGGACTAGACATTATGCAGATGTTCAGTTGTCTAGTTACACTGCAAAAACAAAAAAGATTTTCTTTCTTAGTATTTTTGCCTTGTTTTCCAGTACAAATATCTAAACATTCTTGAATCTAGAAAAAATATCTTCCAAAAGGGCAAGAAAAATAATCTTGTTTCCCTTTAAATCAAGATTATTTTTCTTACCCCATCTGCGAAAAATAATATTTTTTCTTGATTTAAACAAAAACTAACGATATTTTGATACATTTTTCAGAACACAAGACTTAATATCTTAGGTCTTTAACTCTTCTAGAGTTAGGTATAACGCGTTACTGTATTCTAATTACTAATGCATTACATTTTAAATTTATGTAATTTGATTTCAGTTACTAACGTCAATAAAATGACATTACTTAAGTTACAAATGCAGTGTTAAGAAAATGCAGTAAAATGCATTTTAAAATCAAGTTTTGTGGGTCAGTACGCCCTTTAATAATTCACCGGAGAATGCGAGCTAAAATGCAGACGAAAATGTTTCAAAATGTTGCACTCGATTTTAGTCTGGCATTATAGTTTGGGGAAAAGTACTTGAGAATCGTGAAATGCGTACATGTTTATGTCACAATAACACTAATATAAGTAAGAATAAATGACTCATCAGAATAATCTCCTCCGCTGCTCAAGCCGCGCGTCGCATCGCGTTCTTCTTCTGAAGTAAACACAAGGTTGATTCCTCACAGCGCGTCTTCTTCCAAAAACTAAACGTAGACTAGATGAACTTGAGGAATCTTGCGGCTTTGTTTACGGAGGTGATGTGGGGGTTTGGTTGTGGCTAGAAGGGATTCAGCTACGGACGGAACCCCAAACCCTAAACCCTACCCCGTGCAATAATGCAAATACGGTAATTATTGTTGTTCAATATGACAAAAAATTACGCAATATTGATTTGCGCATGCCCATTACAGATAATGCGCTCAGACGGGAAAGCCTGGACCTGGCGTTGGTTTCATACGGATTACTTTATCAGAGAATATCTGTTTTCGACGTGACTTCAAGCTTTCTATAGATATGTTTCTCGTATCTGTGTGTGAAGTATTCACTGAGTTTTCGTTCATTTTTGTGGCGCGTTTCTTTATTTTACACAAGCACAATGTTTTGTTGATATTGCGAGCACACACAAATAAAAGTAGACCTTTTACAGTTTCAAATGATGTATTACTCAGTAATCTGTACGATCGAAAATTGCTGTTGTCATGAAAAAATGCAAGTGATCGTTCAAGTTGCTGTTAAATATTAAATTACTGAAAGAACTATGAGTTTCACTTTGTAGTGTATTTTTTAGGTTCGATAGCTTGAAAAATAAAATAAAGTCGAGAGTAAAGTAATTAGTAATCTGATTACTTTTTAAATGCAGTAATTAGTAATGTAATCAAATTGCAATTTTAAAGTAGTAATTAGTCATTTGTACAACAGTAACTTACCCAACACTGCTCATTTCTCTCTTGAGCGTCACTGCTTTACTGGTATATACTTTACTCTGGGCACGCAAAGTGTCATTCTGACGTCAACATAACTGCCATTTCACAACTGGCATAGCTGGATGAGCTCTATAAATAATGCAGCACTGATTTCAACAGTACTATAGCTCACTTTTCAACAGGGAAGCTAAAATACCATCCATGCTCCAGCACTACGACTGTTTGACCAAACTTCAGAAACTCACCTCCTTTTCTGAAGAGGTAGACTGGCACAAGATACAGCATGGAGTGCTGAATATAATAGATCTCCTTCTCAAATGGAAGCTGTGATGGGAGGGAAAAAAGTATGTTTTGAAGACAACACATACATGTTCTAGCCTTATTTGGTGTTAGCATGATTTGAACAGAGCGCTTAATTTACTAGGGGTTGGAATTAGGGCTGCACGATAAATCGAAATGGAATCGAGATCGCGATTCGACAGAAGCTGCGATTGTCATGCGT